GTCACGGCGGGGCCCGGGCTGTCCGGCGGCGCCGCGACTTCGGGGCGCTCGTCCAGCTCGACGGTGAGCTCCACCACCTCGGCCAGCGAGGCGACGCGCCAGCAGCACACGCCTGCGGCCGGAGAGCCCCGCCGGCCGCCCACGTCGACCACGCAGTTCCACCTGAACGACGACAAAAACGGGTCTCACGTGAGATGGCATACAGCCGGACCAAGGACAGAAGAACGTCCTTCCAAGAACATGAGAACCCCCGCTGGCCAAACTGAGGAACATTCGAGGGTGCCCCCCCCCAGGATGCGCAAGAACACTCAACAATCGTACCCTCCCCGAACCGACCTCGATCTTATACCTCGGTCCGACCGTAGCCACCTTACGCAGCGGTCTACGCGGGCCACCAGCGCGGCACGCTACATTGGAAACGAGGTGGCTTACGCGCGACCTTACGCGGGCAGCTTACGCGCCAGTGCCGGTGAAGACGAGCCCGTTCTCCTTCGTCACTCACCTGTTCGCGACGGGGTCAAATCCAGCACTCTCGAACTGGGACGCGCAGCGCGGGTAACTCGCACACCAGGGAGCGAATACCAGGTCCTCGGAGTCCTCGATTGCCGGCTCGGTCCGCGAGTACAAGTGGAAGGTGCACCCCTGGCAATTCTTGGCCCGGAACTCGCTGGCTGCTACCCAACATACGCAGTTCTTACAGTCGCGCATGGAGACCGGGCCCCTGCAGGGCCCGATGAGGATGAGACAGCCGCTGCAGAAATCCAGATCCGCCTGTGCCGTGAGGTCACAGATGTAGACCTCGCAATTCTCAAGGCCGTCCAGAGAGATCTCCTGCACGTTGATGGACCCGGGCTTGCGCATGATGATCTCGTCCTGCCGCGTCAGGATCCTGTAAGGGTTCAGCGCCGCATAGCCGCTGCGGAACAAGTCGAGCGTCACGACGCCCTCCACCTCGCCAGCCTCTGCGAGCCCGCCCGGCCCAAACAGCCTCGCGGCGTCCGCCTGGCCGAAGCCCAGATGGTCGCCGAGGTAGGCCCGGACGTCGTCCCAGCTCAGCACCCCCCCTGACATCCACCGGTGTGAGTTTTACGATCCGCAACTCCAGAGCTCCCGACCGCTTTTTGGCTTGCTGGGTATGGACCGCTTCCCAGGGGATCCTTCTTCGTCCTGGGCCCACTTCAGACTGCTCCGCGGTACGGTAGTTCGAGTAAGGGATCGCCTACAAAATGGTTTCACCTCAAAGTTGATTCTTCTGTCGGCTCTACGAGAACGAAGTAACGAATCCTCAGTAGATTCTACGCAGTTTTCGTATATTCGATGCAACAGCAAAACCAAGGGCAAATATAGCTCTGCTGTCGATCTCCTACTCGAAGAATAGTCCCCGAGGACCGGGATCAAAGCACACACACACACCGGTGGACAACAAAAATCACATGTCGCCAGAGAGCCAGGCCTGCCCCGGAGGAGCCCATTGCCGCGAAGGCCCTCTGGATCTCCTCGTCCCTGGACGCGTTATTCGCCTGAGGGGACCAAAATGACGACCCAGACGTGATCGCGTCTCAAAAAAATCAAGACAGGAGGTTTTTGCCAATTTTCGGCCTCGGGGGGCCCTCGCCGAGCCTCAGGACCGTCAAAAAACGACTCACGACGAAAAACCAGTCCCGGGAAAGGGTCGGGACTTCCAGGCACCCCATAATCAAGAAATGAGAACGTCGAATGTCTGACTACGTACCAAGCCACCCCAACCCAAATCGGAGACCTACATTTCGGTTTCGGGGAGACGGGATGCACATGCGTTTTTTCAATTTTTCCCGAAGCCCCCCCCCGCTGGGAATGGAGGGCAAATTGTGGGCTTCGGATTGGGCTGGGGTGGTTTGATGTGTGGTGGCAAAAAAATGCATATACCGCTGCTCTCTGGACCTCGCCTGGGGTGCGCTCTGACCAGACTTCAGAGGGGGGTCCACCCCCGAACTTCGACGCTTCGACCAGACATATCGCATCGCCAAAGATCACGACCGGACCCCACGACCACATCTTTTTGCGGCATGTCTCGAGCCAGATCGATCCGTGCGGACCTGGGGGCCCGAAACATGGCGACATCGCCAGGTGCGAAGATGCTGCGACGCCAGGATCTCAAGGCCAACCGTCGCGGCGACAAGGGCCTCCTGGGAGGCCTCAAGAGGCGGAAGCGCGGTATCGGTCCCTTCCCAGACACTCGACGTCATGAATTCGTCGCACTGTCGGTCCAGAGAGTCTCGACCCGTTCTCCAGCACCGGTTTCGCATCCTGGGTCGTTGTTTGACGGCCCCGAGGCCCAGTCAGGGCCCCCAGAGGCTGCAAACAGCAGAAAACCTTCCGCCGTGACTTCTTCACGTGACTCGAGGAGGCCTGGGTTCACCTCCCCTGCTCGCCCGCGCGACGACTGGGAGCCCGGTGGCCCGCGCCAGCCGCCGCCGCCCGGCGGCGGGTGGCCGCGCCGTCGGCGACGGGGCGCTGGCGG